AAGAGAAGAGAGGCATTGGTAAGGCGCTTACAGCGTCAGCGACGAAGAGAAAGCAAACCGATTCAGGAAGCACTACGGACGGAGAAGATGGACCGACGCCGAAGAAAGCTAAATCAAAGTCCGCGCGTGCTGCACCTTCAATGGACATGCCGGCGTTCAGCCTAAATTTACGCGACGCCCACTTTGCGCGAGTCGAGCTAGAGCGCGAGCGACTAAACTTCGAGCGAGAGCGCAGCGATGCATACAGAGCGGTGCGCGAGCGCGAGCGTGAGGAGCGCCGCGAAGAGCGCGAAAAGATGCAGGAGCTAGGATTAGCTAAGTACAAGCTCCTGATAGAGGCCCTCAACAAGAAAAAAGGCCTCTGAGCGTACTTTTCAAGGTGGTTTACTAAAGGAAAATGCGTTTTCACGTGCTACATCTGCCAGTTTTCCGCTCGCGCCGGGCTCCCTGCGGGGCAGCCGACCAAGTCTGCGTTAAAGCTCGTAAGCTCGCATTCGCGGACTTGGTCCTCGCTCCTCGTCCGCCGGCGCTCCGCTTCGCTCCGCGCGGGCTCCCTGCGGGGCAGCCGACCAAGTCTGCGTTAAAGCTCGTAAGCTCGCATTCGCGGACTTGGTCCTCGCTCCTCGTCCGCCCGCGCTCCGCTTCGCTCCGCGCGGGCTACCAAGGAGCGAGTTCAACCATTAATCCTTATGCTCGAGGTATTCTTCCAGAGTTGGCGGCATGCAGTTGAAGTAGCGCGATATTTGATTCGGATTGATACAGTTTCGCATGTTGCAGAGAAGCATGCCAGCAATGTAGAGAGATCCCACAGGGGACTCCAATACCTTCATCTTTCGTTTGTAGTCCAGCGTAGAAAAGTACATCTTCACCTCTTTAAATATCCATTCGACAGTAATACGCGATGAAGACACGGCCTTGTTGAACGCTCGTTGTTCAGATCTGAGATTAATGCCCTGATATGGTACTTCCATGAACCACCTTCTGCTGTAGCCTGAGTCACAGTACAGGCAGTACTTATTGCCCTCGACGTACAGCAAGGCTGGCAGCTGCTCTTCCAAACCACTTCTCACATACCATGTCCAGTCGTTGCAGCGCCCTTCCATTGGAACATGGGCATGCAGTATCATTCCGTCTGGGCTATTAACGGCTTGGAATATCAGTGCATGCTTCCTTTTATGTCCATTATAAGCAACTCGTTGACTATCAAAGCCACTTGGACGAGCGATGCCAATAACCGTTCCATCAATAAACACAACGCAGTTGTCTAGTCCGTCACTCTTGTCTCTTATGGCCTCCGCAAACCATTACGCTTGAGCTTGAAGATAATGAGAGCTGATATTTCCTGTTATCAACTCAACCCTTGTCTCCAGTAGATGCTCGATGAATTCCCAGCATATTTCTGAGAGTTCAGATCCATGCTTGCCACAGAAAAACTCCATGTCCTTCCATCTAGATGGGGTGCAGAGCCGGCGGAGGACAATGCAAATTGATAAAATGGGCGAGACAGCGTAGCGGTTGCGAGTGGTACTTGTTTTTTCATCCGGCCAAGCCATTGCATGTAAAATCCTTATAACATCATTCTTATTAAAACAGAAGTAGAAGACGCAGTCGGAATTGCTGAAGGAATTAAAATTGAAAGAGAACTGCGATGCATGAATGCAATTGCTTCTTGAGATTGTCTTGTTCAATTCGTTTGTTCAGTTTGAAGCTTTGAAGCAATGAACGACATGCACGTCGAGGATGCAAAAACGGGTTCAGGGTGATGCTGACGCCGTTTGGCAAGGGAACACAGAGCAATACTGAAGGTATTTGCCCGTCTAACAATTGCCTTTTGTGTGTAATCGCGCTGCTTACCACTGTTCATGGTAGCGGATTTGTGGAGCACAATCGGGTGGGGTATGGCTACAGAAGGGCTACGAGTAATACTCACGGCTTTACTTCTAAATTTCTTAGCGTAATTGCGTCTAAAAATTTTCGCAATTAAAATTTCGATGCAGAATTCTGCAACGGTCATCGGCCAAATTCTCACAAGATAATTGCAGAATTCTGCCAGGCGTAAACCCTGAAATTTGGGCCAGTGAAGACTGGTTCGAAAGCTACTGTAGTATAGCCCTCCATCCAGTGGCCGAGTTTCGCTCTCTGTACATGTTTTCCGCTAAAAAGGCCATTACTTTTCGTGAAATTGAGTCAACATTGGGGATTTATGAAAGTATGTATATAGTATATACAGTGCTTCCGCCTTATAAGAATAGTCCGTTGGAGAATATCCTCGGTAATAGAATATGATGGCTGACTCCCGTGTTGGGAGTGCCCAAAAAAGGCACATGGAGCAGCATTTATTCTTATGCGACAAGAGAATAAAAACTTCTGGATGAGCTCAATTTTGGGGTACAGCAAGGCGTGTACGTACCTCAAAAAGGAGGCCAAAAAGCAATATCAGTCAGCTGTGTCGGCACATGAACATTTTTCTCAACCTCAATCCCAGACTATAGACCTGTTCAACATTGCAATTCTGCATCTTTGATCTGTTCAAACTACTTTGCGCTCAGATAAGAAACCATGAGAGACTTCATATGCACTTTCACCTGTACAGCACCAACTAGACTTTTTCAGAAGGCGCTGACGAGCTTGCTGGACCTTATCATAAACACACCGATAAGAATAACCGCTTTATAAGAATACGGATCCTGTCTCCCGTCCTTATTCTTATAAGGCGGAAGCACTGTACATACTTTCATAAATCCCCAGTAGTATGACGTATATAGTATATATATATAGGGGGTCGCTCAATAGTGCCTACTTTAGTAGTGCTTCCCTCTACATAGAGCTAGGGCTCACGCTCAGGCACAGGTTATCATAAGCTCACACGTGTATCATCCGACATGGTTCAGTACTCAAAGGATGAAGTTATTTAGTTGTGTTATACAGGCTTTGTTGTGTTTGTGTTAGCAGTGTGCTTTGTCCCCAAATATATGTATTTGAGCCTCCTTTATATAGTGCCATCCCCCCAATAGTGCCATAGCTAGAGGTATGTCACGCTATAGCACTATATCGTAGGAGGCACTGTACGTCATACTACAGTATTCTGGTCCTACAGTATGAACTACATGTGCTGTAAGGAGGTGACAGATGTGCGATCTGTCATAAATGTTCACTTTCGGACATGTAGCGTACTGTGATAGGTTGCATTCTTCTGAGTTTTCAGCAAATTCGATGCCTCTTCTGCTCTGTACTGTAATTCAAATGACGATGTATGAGCCATTAGAGGGGTGCCCCATCAGCGTTACAGTATCTGAGATTGCATGGCAGACTGTATGCAATCTCAGATACAGGGGGGGGGGGGGGGCGCGATATAGTGCTACCCTGTGTCAGTGGGCCGAAAACGGCACTATATCGAACCAGGCACTGTTAGATAATGAGATTTACGGCTTTTTTGCAGCCACTTCCTTGCATCACTGCTCAGAAAGACCGCTCGCAGGACGCCATCACTCATGCTTTGTATCTTCACTACAGACTCAAGTCTAATCAAGAATTTCTGTTATTAGTGGCTGCCGGGCCGTCGCATTGACTTCCTCCTTTCTCGCAGCTATAAATGCCAGCCTACACTTTTGCAGATGTCCAATTAGGGATTTAGGGGATTTAGGGATTAGGGGATTTAGGGGATTAGGGGTTTATAGGGGTTTTAGGGGATTTAGGGGATTAGGGGTTTATTAGGGGTTTAAGCCTTTTTCCGCCATAGTCTATTCGAGGTAGCAACTGCATAATCACTTCCCGTGGCGGCAGTGGCTCTCGGGCAGTACGTCCATCCAACTGCCTCTCTGGAGACCCTTCATTTTTGGCTCAAAATCCGGGCCACCCGCAGAAGGGTAGCACTATATCCTAGCTGGCACTAACAAAGATGGCACTATATCGCGACCCCCCCGTGTACCGTAACGCACCTCGCCATGCAATCGCCCCTGTGGGAAATTAGAATTTGACGGTGACGTTTTACTGCAGAAAATAAATGCATCTCAACGAAATTATTAAAATGCACTAAACGGTAGCATTTAATAATTTCAGGTGTCAAAGGAGAGTGCATCCTCTCGCATCCTCTCCTACATGGATTTTTGTGATAGTGCAAAACATGACATGGAGAGGGAATCAAGGAGGTCGGGAGTAGCATAAGTACAGAGGGAGTCGGGGCAGAGTCTGCCCGGCAGACTCTGTTTTTGTTTTTCGCTTGTCATTTGAGATGTCTATCCGACCCAACGATCTCATAACATAAAAATCTC